AAATCATTCCAAATTTATATATATGTTTTTAAAAGAAGTCTTTTATGCTCACCAAAGCTGCATTTATTTAATCAAAAATACAGTGATAATATTGTGAAATAGTATTACAATTCAAAACAACTGTTTTCTATTTTAATACATTTTAAAATGATATTTATTTCTGTGACGGCAAAGCTAAATTTTCAGCAGCCATTACTCCAGTCTTCAGAGTCACATCCTTCAGAAATCATTCTAATATGCTAATTTGGTTATAAAGAACATTTTTTTATTATTTTTTATCAGTGTTTAAAACAGTTTTGCTGCTTCATATTTTTTTGTAGAAAATGTGATCCATTAATGTCATGATTCTTTGATAAATGGAAAGTTAAAAAAAAAAACTGTTTATTTGAAATAGAAATATTTTGTATCTTTAAATATGTCTTTACTGATACTTTTGATCAATTTAATGCAGCCTTGTTGTAATTATTATTACATTTAAATGGTACTGTATAAGTTTCCACAGAAAAAATATGAAGCAGCAAAAACAGTTTTTAACATTGATGTATATAGATCAGTTGGAGGAGCTGGAGCGTGTGTTTCAGGACGATCACTACCCTGACGGAGACAAGAGAAAGGAGATCGCTGCCTCCATCGGTGTTACGCCCCAGAGAATCATGGTCACTGTTCACTTGCATCTCTTCCTTGGGATCACATTAAATTAATCTAAATGCATGCAAGTATCAATAATTGTACTCTGATCCTCACATCAGGTGTGGTTTCAGAACCGTCGAGCCAAGTGGAGAAAAACAGCAAAAGCCACAGCAAAAAAGCCTCCTGCTAGTCAAGGTCAACCTTGTGTCCAGGTCAACAGGTAAGTGACCCCACTGATGCAATGCAGCTAACATACTATGTGATGCAATGCATATAATCACTTATACAGTTCTTTTGTGTGTGTTCAGGCCACCAGTTTTGACAGCTCCAGCTGTTACATCTCAACATGCCAAGCCTGGAAACACACTTCATCCCTACAGTACCATCCGGACCAGCTGCATCAGTCCACCAGGTCACATTTTCAGACATACACCTAAACAGTTTAATTAAGCTATATTTTAGGGCTTAAGCCATTTAATTCAATTATGCATCAGGGATTAAACCATAGACTGTATAAAAACATGGACGTAGTGTCACCCGTAGGGTTCCGAAGAGAGTTTTTGAAACTCAAAAGTGGGCAGAGGCGGCCGTCGCCATGTTGGCAGTGCATCACCGCGCGTCACTCCCGGATAATCGAAGATGGGCAAAGAGGCGGGAGCTGGTTGTTGAAACCACGCCCACCTAGCTCGATGGTGGTGACAGCAGCGGCAATCCACCTGTCACTCAAGTGGCCACGCCCTTAATTATGCAGAACTTTAAGGCTTAATATAATTTAAAGGGATGAGTTATAAAAAAATTCACCCCCTCACAGTTGTCATAAAGGGCAAAATTAGCTATATAGACCAAAATAAGTTTTTGAACCAGGCTGTAAACGTTTTTTTCTGTTGTAAAGTTAGGCATTTTAACATGGGGAGTCTATGGGATTGACTCCCTTTTGCAGCGAGCCTCTAGCGGCCAGTTGACGAATTACAGTTTAAGTCACTTCCTTGTTGGCTTCACGAGAGAGAGCGGGAGGTTGCCGCTTGGATTAACCCCTTTAATTAACCTAAGGACTACAGGATTTAAGCCATTTAATTAAACTGTTTAATTTGAATTGAAAATGCCGACACATTCAAAACATGGACACCTGTTTTTTAAACAAATGCAATTTTCTGTCTTCAGGTCCAGCGTGTGTTGATGTGGCACCTTGTGTGTCTCAAGGAGGCTTTTTGGAGTACATGCCCCCTCCTATGCACAGTCCTCCTCCGATACGGCGTGCTTCCTTGCCTCTTATCACGGCTTACAACCCCCCTACTCACACCGTGTCCTTGCTGCTGGACACACCTGAACACAGTGAGCCCAGCTCCGCAGACACAACGCCGCTGAGTTTGCAGACTGACACGGGGTTAGTATGAAACTAGGTTACTCATCTCCTGCAGTTCCTTTGTTAACCACTAGACGTCAGCACAGAGCTTATATAGTGATTTTCAGAGGTGGAGGTCTGTACTACAGTAACAGTAGCAGGTGTTCCTGCCACAGAACGCTTGATATGATTAGTAGTCAGCATAACTGGCCATAGCATTTGACAGTCTGATCACAAATAGTATTTTATATATATGTTTTTAAAAGAAGTCTTTTATGCTCACCAAAGCTGCATTTATTTAATCAAAAATACAGTGATAATATTGTGAAATAGTATTACAATTCAAAACAACTGTTTTCTATTTTAATACATTTTAAAATGATATTTATTTCTGTGACGGCAAAGCTAAATTTTCAGCAGCCATTACTCCAGTCTTCAGAGTCACATCCTTCAGAAATCATTCTAATATGCTAATTTGGTTATAAAGAACATTTTTTTATTATTTTTTATCAGTGTTTAAAACAGTTTTGCTGCTTCATATTTTTTTGTAGAAAATGTGATCCATTAATGTCATGATTCTTTGATAAATGGAAAGTTAAAAAAAAAAACTGTTTATTTGAAATAGAAATATTTTGTATCTTTAAATATGTCTTTACTGATACTTTTGATCAATTTAATGCAGCCTTGTTGTAATTATTATTACATTTAAATGGTACTGTATAAGTTTCCACAGAAAAAATATGAAGCAGCAAAAACAGTTTTTAACATTGATGTATATAGATCAGTTGGAGGAGCTGGAGCGTGTGTTTCAGGACGATCACTACCCTGACGGAGACAAGAGAAAGGAGATCGCTGCCTCCATCGGTGTTACGCCCCAGAGAATCATGGTCACTGTTCACTTGCATCTCTTCCTTGGGATCACATTAAATTAATCTAAATGCATGCAAGTATCAATAATTGTACTCTGATCCTCACATCAGGTGTGGTTTCAGAACCGTCGAGCCAAAACAGCAAAAACAGCAAAAGCCACAGCAAAAAAGCCTCCTGCTAGTCAAGGTCAACCTTGTGTCCAGGTCAACAGGTAAGTGACCCCACTGATGCAATGCAGCTAACATACTATGTGATGCAATGCATATAATCACTTATACAGTTCTTTTGTGTGTGTTCAGGCCACCAGTTTTGACAGCTCCAGCTGTTACATCTCAACATGCCAAGCCTGGAAACACACTTCATCCCTACAGTACCATCCGGACCAGCTGCATCAGTCCACCAGGTCACATTTTCAGACATACACGTTTAATTTTTAATTAAGCTATATTTTAGGGCTTAAGCCATTTAATTCAATTATGCATCAGGGATTAAACTGTATAAAGTATAAAAACATGGACGTAGTGTCACCCGTAGGGTTCCGAAGAGAGTTTTTGAAACTCAAAAGTGGGCAGAGGCGGCCGTCGCCATGTTGGCAGTGCATCACCGCGCGTCACTCCCGGATAATCGAAGATGGGCAAAGAGGCGGGAGCTGGTTGTTGAAACCACGCCCACCTAGCTCGATGGTGGTGACAGCAGCTGCAATCCACCTGTCACTCAAGTGGCCACGCCCTTAATTATGCAGAACTTTAAGGCTTAATATAATTTAAAGGGATGAGTTATAAAAAAATTCACCCCCTCACAGTTGTCATAAAGGGCAAAATTAGCTATATAGACCAAAATAAGTTTTTGAACCAGGCTGTAAACGTTTTTTTCTGTTGTAAAGTTAGGCATTTTAACATGTTCTGTTGTAAAGTTGGGCATTTTAACATGGGGAGTCAATGGGATTGACTCCCTTTTGCAGCCAGCCTCTAGCGGCCAGTTGATGAATTACAGTTTAAGTCACTTCCT